GGTATGCTATGAAACATTTGTTTAACTATGTAAAGATGTGCTTCATTTGTTTAACTATGTAAAAATGTTTTGTATTTGTTTATGTTATGGTTTATTTAGATGTGTAAAGATGTGATGCATTTGTTTAATTATGTAAAGATCTGTCTCTTGCCTGCCTAAGGCTCCTGATTGGTCTAAGAAAAAGCCAAACAGCTGATAGTGACGGAGGAGGTATAGGTTGGACTTTGGGGCAGGAGGAGTAAGTTGGAGGAGAAATTTAAGCTAGATGGAAGAAAAAAAAAAAGAGATGCAAGGGAGATACCAAGCGCCAGCCAAACAGACACAGGGGAAGCAGTTAAGTTGGCCATACAGAATAAAAGTAAGCTAAACAGCCCTGAGGCAAAAATGTACATAAAAGAAACAAGTTAAATTAAGTTTAAAAGCCTGAGTAAACTTCACTTTGACTTCCACATGTGGGCCCCACGTGTGCACTAAATAAATGAATATTTTAGTTTTCCTACTCCATGAATTTTATATTAATGGAATTGAGACTAATTGGAGGGGTGTGGCTCCATCTGTGCCATGGGCACAGGGAGATGAGGAGCACTGTTTAAGTCTGTTAAAATCAGTGTTAGTATTAGCAAGTTCCTCAACTAACTTATCTACCATCATGGAGCCCTCATCTAGTACCTGTTGGAAACAGAAGCAAACACCCTTACCTAACACTGAGTCTAACTAGAATTCAGATGCAGAGAGACCAGGTTGCAGAAACAGAGAGACAGCTGACCTGAACAAGGAGGAGCTAAGAGACCCCCCAGACTGATAGCTAGGAATCTAGCATGGCACTGACTCAGGCCCCCTGAACATGGGTCTTAGCTAGAAGGCCTGAACAGTCTGGGGGTTCTCAGATAGTGGAACTGGGATGTATTCCTGGTGCACAGAAGGACCTTGTGGGCACATCCCCCATGGAGGGATACTCCCTTAACCTAGAGACAGGAGAGAAGTCCTAGTCCCTACTTCAAATGACTTGACAGATTTGAATGACCCCTCCTGGATGGCATCACCCTACATGTGGAATTGGGGTGGGGGATAGGATGGGAGGGTGGTTAGGGTGCATGTGATGAGGGGGGAGAGAGGGAAAGAAGAAGAGAGGGATGGAGAGAGAGGGAACTGGAATCAATATGTTAAAAAAAAAAGAATTCAAGGTTGCCAGACAGTGATAGAACACACCTCTAATCCCAGTAATAAATAAAAATTAAAACAGGGAATTAAGTTTAAAAGCTAGTGGGACAAGCCTAAGCTAAGGCTGAACATTCATAATACATTCATAATTAATAATAAGTCTCTGTATCTTTATTTGGGAACTGGTTGTTGGCCCAAAGAAAATTCCAACTACAGGTAGTCATGTTAATGAAGAGTCATAGAACATTGTAGGTAAAATGAGGTAGAATACTGGGAATAGAATTATGTTGGGAAGATCATGAGAGTATGGGGGAAAACGAGGGTTAAAGGAAGGGCAAATCTATATGAATGCCTATTCTCTCACAACCCAATTAAAACATATAATTGGGAGGATAGTAGGAAACTTGTGACATGAACAAAGAAGGGGTATATTGGTGTTTAAGGATTAAGTGGGAGCATTGGTGGGAGAAGGGGTAGATGAAGGAGTGCTGGGTGGGTTAGTTAAAATTATGGATGTATGAAAAAGCCTGTGGAAGCATACTAATTAATAAGGTAATTTCAAAATATAACTTTAAAATAAAATAAGTGTTCACAAGGAATTAACTCAAAGAATTGACAATATTTGCTCCTAGAAGATATAGGTTATTACATTAAAAGCTCAGTGCAAGGTATGGTATACTTCCCTATAAGTTATTAGTCAGAGAGACCTGTGAGGCCTCCAAAATAACACAGACAATTGCCATTGCCCTTGGTTATTCATCATCATTACATGGCAAGAAACTGTTTCTGAAGACATCACACACTTTGGCTTCAGGAATTAGGCAAATCACGTCAAGCTGACTGGAAAACTTCCTTACTGCTGGCTAACATTCATAGGGTAGAAAGATGCAATGGTTGCTGTTTGGGTAGAAAACAAAAGAGACATCACGTATCTTCTCCAGTGCTGGACTGTGCATGCTACACCTACATTGTAGGCAAAATGTTTATCTACAGTGCAATAGTGACAGTAAAGTTATTGGAAGTAGCTAATCATTTTTTTGGATTGTCTCTTTTTAAAAATAAATTTATTCATTTACTTATTTTACAGCCTAGCTGTAGTTTCCTCTCCCTCCTCTCCTTCCTGTCCCTCTCCTCTTCCATCTCAGTTCCCAGCCTCAAATCCACTCCTCCTGTTTCTGTTTAGGAAAGGTCAGGTGTCCCATGACTATCAATAAAAGATGGCGTATCAAGTTGCAGTGAGACCAAGTACCTCCCCATGTAGTGGGGCTGGGCAATGTGACCCAGTTGAGGAGTAGGGTCCCATAAGGACAGGATCAGAAGGATGGAATGGAAAGAAGGAGGAAGGAAAAGGAAATAAGGTACTAAGAAAAAGAAAAGCGAAAAGAAATCAAGATTAACAAGCTCTATATTAAGAGTAGAGATGATATTTGAAAGTAGATACTGTGGAAACCAAGTAAAATGATCTGCTCCACTGTTCTTACATTTGTGTCCTGTGGTATTTTGTATGGTGGTTAGGATGCCATAATGTTTGTGGTTTTATAACAGAGTGTTACCACTTACTGTAAGTGATAAAGTGGGAAAAGTTGATTCTAGGAGGTAGCTGTTATTTATTGATGAAGTGATCTTACTCTCTGGAGTGCAAACTTCTTTTTCTTTTAAAAAAATAATTTATTGTTGTATTTGCAATCAATTAATTTACTATGTAACCTGCATGTATACGCCTGCATGCCAGAAGAAGGCATGAGATCTCATGATAGACAGTGATGAACCACCATGTGGCTGTAGGGAATTGAACTCAGGACCTCTGGAAGAGTAGCCAGTTCTTTTAACCTCTGAGCCATCTCTCCTGCCCTAGAGTGTACATTTCTAAAGCCAAAGTTATTGAATGAGACCATTAAAGAAAAGAATATAACTTTATCCTCTGTGTTCAGGAACTAGGAACAGGAATGAGGCTAATTTGGAGGCTTTGGAAATTAGTCTACCAAAAGGGGTCAAAATCAATCAGTTGTTGGATGTTGAAGGATTAGAGCATTGTGTACTAGATCTTCTCATATATAGAACTTTCATAGCTACAGTTTCTAGAAATCCAGATTCTTATCTGACCTTTTACAAATCTTAGATATTGATATCTAAGTGAAAGTAACAAAATGCAGGTGTACACACATATACACATATACATACATGTATGTGTTCTTGCTTGCTTGACTTGTTTGATGTGCAGTGAGATCTTTTCCTTCAAAAGAAGCATGTTTAACTTGTAATAGTGAAGTACTCTGACCAAGTTTGTATTTTATTAATACACTTACTCAGTTTCAGACTTCAAAACTATCCTTTCTCTAAACTTTGCATTATTCCTTTTTTGGGAGGGTAGGAAAGGGTTTATTTGGCTTACACTTTCTTATCAAAGTTCATCATGGAAGGAAGTCAAGACAGAAATACAATCAAACAGGTTGGGAACCTGAAGGCAGGAATTGATGCATACTGCCTTGCTCCCATATTTGCTTAGTAGTTTTCTCCCTCTCTCCCTCCTTCCCTTCCTCACTCCTCCCTCCATCCTAACCCCCCCTCTTTTTTTTTTAAGACAGGGTATCCCTGTTTAGTCCTGTCCTGGAACTCACTCTGTAGATCAAGCTGGCTTTTGCATTATTCTTAACTCAGAAAATTTCTTCTGTATCATGGATCTACATATCTTCTGAGAATTGTTTTTTATAGTATATATCAGTAGGTTCCTGTAATGGAACAGTGCTTCAGATTTTGTGTGGCTATCCCTACCCATGTAATCTTGCCAGTCTTATTTGATTCAGTTTTGTTTTATATTTGTTATTTTCTCTATTTGGAACACCCCCTTCTATTTCTCCATTCTTTAAGATCTGCTCCAAAGAATCAGTTTCAAGCAATCTTTGCCTCCACCACTCCAATTATCTCTACCACACGCCTCTGTTTTATTTCCTTTAAAATTTTTTTAATAACTGAAAACAGATCTAACTCATAGCCTCATCTACCTAATAAGTTATAAGTTTCTTCAAATTATGAAGCTTGTCTTCACTTTTTGTTGGAATGATATCTGGTGTGTTATAGGCACTGGACAATTATTTCTAGAAATAGTAAATTGGAATAGTACTTTCATTGGAAATTTTCAGCAAGAACATATCAAAGCATGCTTTAATGTTGGTATGTACCCATCTTTACAGTGACTGAAAGTGCGAATCCTGTCCATTTCTCCATTTCAAAACATCCACAGCACATGAGTGGATGGAGTCTTTTGAATCTTCTCACAGTTTTGCACTTACAGAAATTAAATTTTCTATGGTGTATATGATAAAGCCAGAGACAAATAATGTAGAGGCTTCAACCTTTCCAGAACATGCTCAGAATGACCGGTATTTTGTCCTTCTTTTATTGTTTTTTTCCTCAATGCTTAAATTGAGACCTTGTACAACTCAATATACACTTTAGGGAAAACCACTATTCTAACATATCATTGTGTCAGACATATATATTTACTTTGTGGGTCCAATTTTATTTTCTTTAAATCCTCTGCATAGCTACTGAAAAACAGAGTGTAGATTGGGCAGTTCCAGGTCTGGGAAGTGTATTACTATTGTGTTTAGTTTTCAAGTTTCTTATTGATTTGTGTAATAGTTTACTTAACTAGAGGTGCTTCCATTATCTGAAACAAAACATTGGTTTATAAATGTTACTGAGACAGCTTTATTATAATTTTGTCTTGTGCATAATAACTGGTGGCAAGCTTGTCGTCAAGGAGACTGGACAATGGGAAATACACATCTCAGTGTAAAAATCAAACCAAAGGTGCACCCAGCATTGTGTTAGAGGATTCAGCATTTCCCTTCATGTTTGAAATCAAGTTTTCCAAAACTTCTTTCCCTGAAAGAAAAGATACGATGTTCAGAGGTGAAATACAGTAGAAACGGGTCAATTCTAGGCTGCGCAAAGTAGACAAAGATTGGTTTTCTAGGTTTAAGATTGCCAAACAATCATATTACTTTATTTCATATAAAATTAACCTTAATAGACTAATAAATTAATAATTAATAATTCAATTCATAGATGTCTCCTCCACTGGACCCAACCAAGAACATCATGCTATTAGCATCCATTTGCTTACATGGCTATTCGGCAGAATTCACAGCGGTTTTGGTAAGTTTTTCCATCAGTGCCACACACTGGTTTGTTGAGCTTTGGGCATGGCTTTTCATCCCTACCCAGTGTCTTCTCATAGTTTCTGCAAAAAGCCTGTAAGTCAGATAAAGCATTTTTAAAAATTTCATTTTTTATGGAATGGATAAAATAGCCTTACGCACCTCAAACTTCCTTGAAGCACATTCATTTTTTTGTTATAAAAATGAAAATATATTGAAAAGAGAACAAAACCCCTAAAATTGTAACACTTCTTGTTAGCTGTTTGTTGACTTCCTTCCACCTCTTCTCTGGACATTGTGGTACAGTTGCTGGGCTAGAAATGGCAAGAGGAAGGACGAGACACACATACCTGAAAGGCTCCTTGGCTCACAGCTCCTGCAATGGGAGAGCAGACCCTGGTAAATCACACGTGACCATTGTATTTTCCAGTTGCAGCAAACCACAACAGTCTCCTGCTGCATCTATCCTGCTTTGTGGGTGGAGAACGACACTGAGACACACAGCTTGTTAACCACATGGAAGTTCCAGAGGCAGGCTGCATTACGCATGGCTGGGACAACATTGCTCTCCCTATGTTTGACCTTCTTTATGTACTTTTATGCAATCACATTTTCCACGGTGTGATTTCTCTCATAACTAGCCTCTCTATGGAGAGATGGAGACAAAATTTTGCACTGATCTTTGTTGAGCAGGTATGTATTTACTATAAGGGAACTGAAAATCTCTCAATTTAAAGCTTTTGATGAAAGCATAGTGATACAACAAAAAAATGCTAAATAAATTTTAAATCATTGCAATACGAATAATTTTAATTTATCACATTTTCATTTGGCATAGCTCGCTTCTACTGTGGGAATTACACATTTAAGTACTATATTAAACCTTATGTGTGTATATCAACTCATATAACAGTCCTATTTTTAATGCTAAGGAAGGCTGTTCACGATTGTGCATGCTTATAATTCCAGACAAAGCTGTCGAAGCAGTTGCATCACCGAAAATTCAAATCCTGGTTTACCTAACAAGTGGCAGGCCAAAAGGCCTGCAGAGTTAGGCGTGATCTCAAGAAAATAAAACACAATAAACCAAAACCAAAACCACAACAGAAAATCTCCAACAAAAGCAAACAATAACAACATAACAAACACACATGCTAAGGAAACTGAGTACCAGGACAAGTATTTGGCTAAGTATTAATATTTGGCTAAGTATTAATATTCATTTGTTATAAATGGCAGAGTAAAGAAAACAATCTAGGCTAGAATCTAAGCCCAATGTGCTTAGGCAACATTTTTAGTTGAAGGTAGTGTCAGTGCACTTGAGTTTCCTGACTACCATTAATACCGAACAAAATAGCAGCCAGAGCACTGGAACGAATTATTCAATATGAGAAGTGGTGGTAGGCGAATGAACATTGGAGCCCAGTCTTGGAATGCCAGTCCTGGGTTGTTTCTACTCTTGTACATCATCATAGTGTTCTGTTCTTTGTCTCCCTCTCCCTCCCCTCCTCCGTTTCTCCTTCTCGTCGCCTGATTCTCTCTTTACATTGTTGAAGAGAGGGTAAAAAAGAATGACTCAGATTTTCATGCTGTATCTGATGAAGTTCATTAGATAAAGATTTATTTTCTTTTCTTTCCTTTCCTTTCTCTTACCTTCCTTCCTTCCTTCCTTCCTTCCTTCCTTTTGATAAGGATTTCTTTAAGAAGATGTTTTTAGGAGAATTTCTCATTTCTATAGCAAACTTCCCCTAAGGATGAAAGTGTAATTCTAACCAGATGTCTCTGTGGTGGCCCTCAGACAGCAACACAAATGGCCTAAAATCCCCAAATTAGACTTTGGGAGCCTACGGAATCTAAAACTAGCTTTCTCATACTAGGGAGAATGGAACTAATTTTGGAAGTGAATAAAAGTGCTTAAAGCAGAGCACTGTAGTAAAAATTAAAATAGAATTTACATACTAATATTCCACTGAAATGAGAAGGTTTAGGACATCATTCACCATCGCTATCATATCATAAAAAACAACATTGTAATCTAACTGCTGGCATCAGCCAGTCTGGTCCAGAAATATATAGCATGATTTTGCACTCACCTGCATAGAGGAACAAACAGGCCAGGCTGATCAGAAGTAGAATGGTGCCTGCTGGCTTCATGTCAGTGAGGATGCCAAAGTCTCAGAAAACAGAAATGCTGAAGGAGTCCAACACTGTGCTTGGTGTTCTCTGGGCAGTATTTATAAGTGGATCTATATGTCTCAGTCCAAGTACCTATACACTTGTCACTCAGCCACATCCTCCACCCCTATTATTATGCAACTGATTTCTGTAAAGAACAGACATTAGATACCAAAGAAACTTATTTTAGGCCCTTTTCAGTCATAACAATAATCAAAAATGATGTTTAGTCATAATGAAGTCTATTATAAATAGCACACCTAAAATTTCTCCTGAGCACCAATCACACAGTGATAATTGCAATCAAATCCTTACCTTGCAATTTATACCTTAGTCTTGTCTGTAACAATGCCTCAGGGCCACAAAGCCAATAACTGTAACCTGGAACACAATCTGAATAATTTGGTATAACATTAATAGGGTTTGGTGTCATAGCTATGAGGAAATGAAAGATGTTGATTTGAGGAATTTTGAGGTCAAGGAATTTATTAAATACAATAAGAAGAGCTCAGTCTGACAGATCATTGGGGCAAACACTAGATATTGGAGGTGGATAGGATTTACAAGGCTATTTCAGTTCTTTGATTTTAGGCAGTGACTGCATTATGATTTCTAGTTCCTAGTTTTTAAACAAATCAATGTTTTATACATCAGCTTTATGCATTAGACACACATGGCATTCATAGGGGCCTTTTTTTCTCTCTCAAACACAATTCACACTCTTTAGTTTTAGCCCTTTTGCTTTTATTGTTCTACCAGAAATATTTCTGGACTAGAAATTTGAAAGTTCATTCTACTTTTTGTATTTTATAAGCAATATAATAAAGTCTCATTAACGTGATCACTCAACCATGAGCTGAACAAGGACAACAAAGATAGGCATTCCAAAGTGGATGGGGGGGGGAAGGGGAACACACAAGGCATCAGAAACTAAGGAATGGGAAGAGCAAGAGAACTCATGTCCCCAGGGAAAAGAACACCAATTAGTTATCCAATACCAAAAAACATACATGCAGATAATATTATACAGACCAAGCAGGTTATAATTGAGAATATTAGGCATGTATGTGCATTATTATCTGCATGCAATAACAGTCAATGAATAAAAAACCCATAAATTTGAAAGAGAGCAAGAAGGGATAATTGAGAGGGCTTTGGGGGAAGGAAAAGAAAGGGGGAAATGACAATTATACCACAATCTCAAAAACAAAACAAAAATATAAGTTCAGATATTACCTCCCTAGGAGAGTTCCGTAACTAGTCACGACACTAATCTTAAATAAAATTGATGTTTTCTCTTGACTTCAAATGCATTTAAAGGTCTAAAATTGTCATTTTGTTGAAGTTTTCACTATATACTTATCAATAGTCAACCAAACATTTACAAGTGCAGGGCCACACAAGTTAGGATATAAACCATTGGACCATTCTGTTTCCTGTGTCTGCTCAACTATACAACATCTTGCATGTACTTACACATAGACATCACTTGCAAATGGAAAACCATAAAAATTCATTTTTCCCTTCCAAAATAATATCTAGGCACTGGTAGTTTCAGGCTTAATTAAACGTTGAAAATAAAGTAGCACAGAAACATAGTCATAGGACTTAAACTTTCCCGTCTTTTCTCAAACATTTGAACTTGAAACCTACAGATTCAAGGAAATTATTATGTTCTGAAAATTTAAAACTGAGAAAAAAAGCACACATATAATATTCAAAAACAAAAGCAATTAAAGCTGTACAGGGACCTGCAAGGGAACACTAAAGAAAGGGCATTTATTGGAAATAGTGTGTAGGAGTTTTGGCTAAGAGGTAGTGATGACTGGGTTCTTGGCCTTGGGAGTTATTAGAAGGTCTTGAGGCTCATAAACAAATATCCAGTAGTCTGAGAATAAGGGCTAATATGAGAAAATAAATTGAAGTGCAATTTTATAGATTTTACTTTTTGGTCCTGGGAGTTTGTACCCAGGGGCATGTACATGCTGTTCAAATGCTTCTCTGCCAAGCCCCGTCACTGATGAGGGTATAGTCTTGGAAAGGAGGGTAATTAAAGTTAGATTTAAATGCAGAGAAAGACCTGAAGATACAAGGTAATTTTGGTGATTTCATGTTTCTCTTTGTCTCTGGAGTGTATTAAATTCACTGTTAATATCATATGGCACACCATCCTTCACAGAACCCATTTTTTTCTCTTTGGAAGTATATTTATACTTCAGATATCTAAATTTTCCTTTTATCTGCTTAACAAGTTTCATTCTTCTTACATCTTCTCAAGAATATAGGATAATTGATTTAATAATATTGTTTTAAATTGGCCTTGTCTACCCAGTTTATGCAAGTGAGATTGTGCAGATAAGAAACTACCCTTTCTTTCTCCTTTGGAAAACAGAATGTGGCCTTTATTTTGGTAGAAATTAGACATTTCTGTATCTTATACATATAATTTTCATTTTTTCAGTCAAACTACTTGAAAGTCATTTTTATATTCTGAGATCTGCTTTAGACTTTCTTGGATGTTTACAAAGTAACTTTTGACCCAATCCAATGTTGCCATATGTTGACCCTGTGTCTCCGGCTCACAGCTAGATGCTGTGTATTATGGCCAGTAGACTGCAAAATATTTTGTGCTAGTTTCAGGAACTCTTCTTTGTGTGTTCTTTCTTTCTATAGTTTTTATTCCTATTTTAATAATAATAAATAATTATATAATAAATAAATATATACATGAGAGAGAGAGATACCAAGGAATAGCTTTGAGAATCAATTCTTTCCTTTCACTGTTTTGTGGCCTCTGTTGATAGAACTCATGTCAACAGGTTTGTGTGGCAGTGCTTTTTAATATAGACATGGTGGCCACATTTCACTGAGGACTTGGGAGAAGTGCTCTCTGCAGACCTCCTGTGCCCTACATTCTACTCTGTGGACTCCAGTTGCCTTGTCCTTCCTCTTGGAGAGGACAGGGGCATTACTGGGGGCTCTCTCCTAATACCGCCACCTGAAAATCCCATAGGAAGCAAATTGCTAGTCAGGATGGCCAAGCAGTCTAAGGCACTGCGTTCAGGAAGCAAATTGCTGTCACTTTCGAATGCAGCTTCTTTGTCATGATGATTGTATGAAAGACGTTGTGTTATATATTTTGTCTGGCACATTAATTGCTATACCTCCTATGTAGATTTTCAATACTCCAGTCTTGTTTTTTTTTTAATCCTTTCTTATTGCTTCCCAAAAGCTTTTATCTTTTATGTAAAGCAACTCTTTCTGGGTTGAGAGTGTAATTCAGTAGTAGAGCATGGGTTTAGCTCACAAGAAACCCTGAATTTGATTCTAGCATTCAAAATAAAGCAAAATGAAGACATTAATTGATTCATGTTAGGGAATTATACATTAGTATAGTTTTGTTGGATCTAAACACTGGTCAGGGATGTCACCCACTAGTTCTTTGGGACTCAAACTGGTAGAGAAGTGATTAGATTAGAGATAAGATTGTTCTAATACTTTGCATGGGGCAAATTGAAATGGCAGCTCACATTAACCTCTTTTATTACTTCTGGGTAGCTTTGAAATTCAAACTACATTTAACCCCTTCTATCTTTCTTTCTGTCTCTTTCACACACGCGTACATGCATACACATACATATCATGATACATATGACACACCTATGCATATGGTAATCATCCTCACATGTAATTGTAAATGTGCTGTTTTAGAAAAATATTATAGATTCTTGATTTAAGATGCATATATATGAATACAGTTTTAAAATCAGACTTTGAAAAAGAAGAGTTATGTTACTGGTTAATAAAGTAAACTGGCCAATGCAAGAGCTAGTAGTTATGAAGTTTGGAACATGTTTCTGGAAATTCAGGCAAAAGGAGAAAAAGAGCTGCCACTCTGATGCTGGGTTCCTAATGATTTTAATAGTGAGGTATTACAGAAAGCTGCAAAGAAACACTAATATGCCTACTTCTCTCATTTACTAGTTATTATCATTGTACATGTTTTGTTATGTTTTTAAAATAAATGTATAATTTATTCAAAATTCAGAAGGAAATGTGGCAAATTAAAATGCTGACAAACCAATGAAATGCCACAGCCCTCATGTGGGGATCAGAGGGCAGTTTATGGATTCATTGTTTCCCTCCTACAACCTGTGGGTTTCTGAGATTGAACTCAGGTCATCAGGGGTGGTAGCAAGTATCATTACATGTTGCATCATCTTCTCACCTGGAAATTGCAGATTCAAAACTGCCACACACACACACACACACACACACACAGACACACACACACACACACACACACACACGTATTATATATATATATATATATATATGTTTGTAACAACAGTGAATGGAAAAAAATGCCATGAATTTAAAAGAGAAGAGGGGTATATGTGGGAGGGTGTGGAGGGAGAAAAGGGAAGGGAGAAATGATGTAATTATCTACAATTTTACTACAATCTCTAACAATAAAAGAAATAATTTTAAGACCAACAGTGGGGCACACTGACAGAAGCAAATGTAGCAAATGTGTAGCAGTCACAAACCACATGTGATTTCAAATTCACACAGATGAATATTGCTAATGGGAAATTCATCCAAAAGAATGAATTCTGTATGGTTCTAGCTACATCTGGGAAAGACAACATGGTAGAGACAATAAATGACACTAGTGGTTCCCAGAAGCTCAGAAAGGAGAGTGAGGAGCAGACACAGAAGAAGGGCAGTGGAATCATTCTACATAGAATTGTAAGAATGCATGTTTAAACATATGTCAGCTTCCAGAGGATATGGTAAAGAAATTTACATGACATCCACCACTGTATTTGATCAATAACGATGTCACAATGTTGCCATCTTTTGTGATGAATGCATCCTATGGTGGATACATGATAGAAAAGGCTGAGTAAAATTTGCAGAAGGCCAAATGTGAGAATTCTGGCATTCCTATTTAATTTTGTATTATTCCTATAATT